CGATACTCGGCATACAATTGATTCCTAGGTATAAACGCGATACAACACAAATCCGAGTGTGTTATTTTGACACGTTATTTTTATGCGTGTCAAAATAACACACTCGGCAGGTGAGAATGCACTTGCCGCGGAACGTTTATATGCAGAAAGATTTCCCGCGCGCGACAAACCCTCTCGACACACAATTGTCTCGTGTATTGCGAGATTAAAGGCGACGGGATCGGTCCTGCGACATACACGAGAAGAAGGTGAAAGAGTGCAAAATGTAAATACTGAAGAGCGCATTTTGCACGAATTTGAGAGAGACCCCGGCAAAAGCACGCGAAAGGTAGCGACTGTATTGGATGTCTCGCGCAATTTGGTGCGGCGCTACGGGAGAACAATCTGCGCCCGTATCATTTCCAACGCGTGCAGCAACTTCTCCCAGCAGATGAGCAGAAGCGCGTCTTTTTCTGTGAAGGTATTGGCTTTACAAGTTAATTCTTTTGCTGTCAGTTTATTAATTTTATTAATCACCGTTGAAATGCATAGGTTTACTCATGCAGTGTCGGCGGGATATTTCATTCCCCGACTGCATCCTGTGGACGGACGAGTTGACCTTTACACTGAACGGCGTGTTTAATTCGCGGAATTTCCTATTGTGGCAGAAGGAAAATCCACACGCCGTTCGAGAAGGCGCGTTCCAGTACCGCTGGAGTATTAATGTTTGGGCCGGAGTAATTGCGGACCGAGTGGTGAGTATCATTTGATTGAAGAAACTTCTTCCTCGCAATGATTTTCTAACATTTCATAATTTTTAGATCGGTCCGTACTTTTTGCCGCCTCGGCTTAATGGCGAGATTTACGCGGATTTTATCAAAGATCCACTCCCAGGGCTACTCGAGGACGTCCCTCTACAGGCACGAGCGGAGTTGATCTTTCAACACGATGGAGCTTTTGCGCACTTTAGCCGGCAAGTGCGAGATACATTAGATACGCGTTTCCCGAAAAGGTGGATAGGTCGAGATGGTTCGATCACCTGGCCGCCGCGATCTCCTGACCTTAATGTGCTCAATTATTTCTTATGGGGTCACGTTAAGAATTTAATCGAACGGTGGCGTGATGGTAGAGAACAAGAAGTACGTGAGGCAATTGTCGCGGCCTTCAATACTATCACGCCGGGAATAACGCACCGAGCAACGCGCGATATTAAACGAAGAGCCAAATTTTATATGCGAGAAGAAGGACGGCACTTCGAGCAGTTTTTACATTGATGCATTAATGTACAATGGATTAGGCCTCCTGGGGATACCACTATAAAATAGACGCGCCATGCTATCTATCGCTAGGTAGTGTGGAAAGGATAGCACCGATAATCATCTCCGCGAGGAGAACGCGTGATGAAAACGTGCATTTATAGGGTGGCCGGTTATAAGCTGCCCACCCGATGTGTGAAGGTAGATTGTGTTAAGATAAACATAAAAGTCCCATACCGTGTTGCAAGATTCGCAATAATTATCGAGTTATTAATGACAAATCTGAGGAGTAGAAACGCGCCGACATAGCGGGAAGACAAAGGGAAGGACAATGCGCCGCTATTCGTTGTTTTATCTCGTCGGAATTACGTCTCGCCGCACGCCGCCCACAGTTACTGGGCCGAGTGGGCCGCGCCGTAGCCTGAGCAGCAGCAACGTTTCTCCAATCTATGCCGGCGCGCTCCCACTCCTCAAGATTTCTGTCATTAATAACTCGATAATTATTGCGAATCTCGGTAAACGGTATGGGACTTTTATGTTTGTCTTAATGTAATCTACCTGTACACTTCAGATTGTAAATTTATAACCACCCACCCTGTATATACAGGATGTTTGATAGCTGATCATGCAGACGAAAGTTGGAGATAGATTGGGTGTAGCCGAAAAGAAAAGTCATGTACCATAATGTCAAATTGGTAATAGTTACCGAGTTATTAATTAAAACATGTGAGCCAACGAACGCGTAGAGAGCGGAGGGCGGCCGCAGTAAGCACGTAGACATTTGATACAAGCGGAGTCAGCGAGTGGCGATAGGCAAGCGCGCGCGGCGAGGGGCAACGTAAACGACAAGAGGCGAGCGCACGCGACGAGGAGCGAGCGAGCGCGAACGACGAGGAGCGAGCGAGCGCAAGCGACAAGAGGCCAGCGAGCGCGACGAAGAGCGAGCGAGCGCGAACGACGAGGAGCGAGCGAGCAATAAGGAAAAAGCTATAAAGAAAAAGCTCGCTTGCTCCTCGTCGCGCGCGATCGCCTCTTGTCGCTTACGTTGCCCCTCGCCGCGCGCTTGCCTATCGCCAGTCGCTGACTCCGCCTGTATCAAATGTCTATGTGCTTACTGCGGTCGCCCTCCGCTCTCTACGCGCTCGTTGGCTCACACGTTTTAATTAATAATTCGGTAACTATTGCCAATTTGACATTATGGTACATGACTTTTCTTCTCGGCTACACCCAATCTATCTTCAACTTTCGTCTGTATAATCAGATATCAAACATCCTGTATATGTATATACTTAGGATACATTCGGATTATTCGTTATCACATTTGCGGGAAAATTGCAGCTCTGGCTAGAAGAACAGTCGTGAACTATTTTTCTGCTCTGCATTATCATATTTATCGGAAGACCTAACCGCATATATTAAAAATTTTTCTGCAAAGTTTTCGTATCGTTTTAAGTTTCCTACCTAAATTTTGAGTTGTTAGAAATGATTTGTAAATTTTTCCTCTTTGGAACATCCAGAGCTTTAGTACATACAAGTTGCAAAACTTTTGTATTAGATAAATATTACGCTAACTGTCAATTCGAAATTTTAATTTAAAAATTTTTTATCGCTTTCGTCACATATTGAGTGATGCTCCAATTAATTTTTGTACGTACTTTCATCGTGTAAAAGCATATTTAATTCTGAAGCATTTAAGACGACGTAAACTTTGCAGAAAAAATATCAAATTGTGACAGTTCTCTGTCGATAAAGCGTTCAGCATCCCCTTAAGTTCAAAAATGTTAAATGCGATATTAATCAGTGGTACATATAAGTAGGGATAAATGCGGCCTCAGGAGGGAGATCTTGGAAATATATGTAAAGATAAAGGTCATTGCAAGTGGATCTCCTATCCGGTATATTTATTATAAATGTTTATAACAGAATATAGTAGCATATATTCATTTATTCCAGTTTATCAGAATATGTATTTATCAAATATAAATCCAAAATTGACCAGAATTAATGTAGAAAGGAATGTGAAGTAGAGACATAAATGTTACCTAAAGTAAGAACAGAAAAATGTCAACGACGACATGTAATATACGAAAGTATAAAAATAGGAAGCCATTTAAGGCCGCAATGCATGAATTTAGAATAAATATCAAATAAAAGTAAGCAACCCTTTTTTAGAGTTATAAACATTTCTGCATATTGGCAACGAAAGTTATTTATACTTGTTTATTAATCATGCACGATGAATAAATAATAGAGTATTTTACCATAATATTTTATTATTGCCTTGTTTACAATAAATATTCTGCGTATCCTCCTTCCCTTTCCACACACCTTGATACCTTCGATTTACAGAATTACGAACTTTTGTAACATTATAAAGATTAACTTCTCAAGATAATATTTCGTTAATAATATCAGCAAGTTCATCATTTTCCAACATCGTGAGATGATTACCTTCGACACGACGAACTTGCACGTTACCTTCAGTCACCTGAATAATAATTAATTTTGTCGTCAATTGATTTTCAAAGGCGGAAACTACATCGATATGCGTCCTTATATTAAGATTACCTTTTTCAAGTCGCTATTTTCGTCGGCAGAAGGTAGGTAGGATGTTGTAGGTTTTAGTAATAGTATAGGCGATTTCAGTGGCGGTGATGAGGACGCATCATATTCGTGAATAGCGATCAGATGCTTATAAACCGTTGTACAATAAATCTTGTAATTTTCAAGAGAAGTTACTTGCACAATATCGTCTGAAAGACATTTGACGACAGCATCCCATTTTTTCTCCCACGTGTCGTGTTTAGACAATTCTAATAGAACCTGTTAACAATTATCATTATTACGTGTCTTATATTAGGTGCGCAACTAAGTTCCCGCTGTTTTTCAAAAGATGGCTCCAGTAGTAAGTGTTGGTAATTGTGAATAACCAAAACGTCATGAACCAAGCTTAGACATATGGTAAACAAACCGCTTTGACACATTAGTGATTTTGTTTTTGCGTCATATACTTTTGGTTGTTTGAAAATGTCTTATTTTGTGCCAAATAATCGTCATTTGCGGGAAGTGTTGTTTTTCTTCTTTCATTCGAAGAAAACGGCGGTGAAGCGCATGAGAACTCCAAAAGTTTACGGAATGCTGCTCTAAGTGAAACAACGTGCCGTGATTGGTTCCGTCGCTTCAAAGACGGTGATTTCGATGTTGACGACCGTTCGCGTGAAGGAAGGCCAAAAACCTTCGAAGACGCTGAATTGGAGGCATTGCTCGATGAGGATCCGTGCCAAACGCAAAAAGAGCTTGCTTCAGCATTAGGAGTTACCTGCCAAGCCATTTCCAAGCGATTGCATGCGTTGGGAATGATTCAAAAACAAGGATTGGTTCTTATGATTTGAAGCCAGAGACGTTGAGCGTCGTTTTTCGCCTGTGAACAACTGCTCCAGCGGCAAAAAAGGAAGGGTTTCTTCATCGCATCGTTACGGGTGATGAGAAATGGATTCATTACAGCAACCCAAAGAGAACAAAATCATGGGGACTGCCCGGTCATGCTTCTACGTCGTCGGCTCGGCCGAATATTCACGCTGCGAAGGTTTTGCTGTGTATTTGGTGGGACCAGGGCGGTGTTATTTATTATGAGCTGTTGAAACCGAACGAAACCATCACTGGGGAACGGTATCGAACTCAATTGATGCGATTGAGCCGAGCACTGCGCGAAAAGCGGCCACAATACGAGCAGAGGCACGAAAAAGTGATTCTACAGCATGACAACGCTCGGCCTCACGTTGCCAAACCCGTTAAACCTACTTAGAAATGCTCAAATGGAAGTCCTTCCCACCGCCTATTCCCAGATATTGCGGTCCGTTATTACTTTTCGTTCATGGACATGGTTGGCTATCAGCAGTTCGCTTATGAAGACATCTCAAATGGCTTGATTCTGATGCCTCAAAAGAACATTTACGTGACGGTATTCGAGCTCTGCAGAAATGGGAAAAAGTTGTCGCTAGCGATGGAATTTTTTGATTCATTTGTACATTTTTTCACATAAAGTTGCATTTTCATAAAACAGCGAAACTTATTGGCATATTTAACATAAATTCACCATACACAACATACCGATGTATTATCGATAGAGTAGAAGAGATCTATAAGGCCTAGGAGAACATTATTCTGAAATTCCTGAAGATTCGTGAAAGGAAAATATTGATCTTTCAGAGTTTTCATATAATCCGGTGTGCCATCAATTAATATTAACCGTCCTGTGAAATTTCTCGCCTCCAACAATCTCGTCAACTCGATAGCGATTAACGACCCGTATGAATACCCAACTATTATGAATTCCGCAGAACCCTCCATCTTTGATATTATATGCTACAAAAAAAGAGAGAGAAATAAATGTTCGTTTTTTCTTATTAGTTTCTTGATCGACGTGACGCAATTCCAATCTAGTGGAATGGAATCACGGAAATATCGAAAAGGCAACTTCCCTGTTATATTAATACGTACAGGTAACAGACTGGCAGCCGACTGCAATACAGATTCACTCGTGGGGATATTGTTTGCTCCGTGCTGCAAACATGTCACGGGACCTTCGATTTTCGAAGCCAACGAATTAAATACGCTCCCGCAACCTTCGATTCCTGGTAGAAGAAATATCCGCTTTGTGCCCACTTTATTTCTCGTAGTTATCTCCAAGCAAACATCTGGAACTATGTCTAAATTATTGATTAAACGAATTAAAAATTTTATACCCGCCGAATCGAGTGTCTCAATCTGCTCAAAACGCTTGTCTTTGTCGGCCATATTGTGGAGTTTCTCCAAAGTGAGAGTTCTAATGTCCTGCGCGGTAAGATAAACGTCGAATTCTTTCTCCAACGTTTGCTTGATCTCTACCGCCGTCATTGAATCCATACCCATCTCTGACAGGGGAGTGCGAAGTCCAACCGCTTTCACATCTTTTATTCCTAAGTAAGCAAAGACAGGAGAAGATAAGGCTCTTGGATTTTTATCATGATCACATAAATCACAACAAAAGGTATGAGAAAGAATACACACATCATTCTTGCCATAGGTGTTTTATAAAACAGTAACATTTAATATCTATTACACTTCGGACAGTAGAAAAAAATGATGTAAGGAAAAGTTGAATCCTAATCTTGAATTGAGTGGGCACACTATTTTTTTATGAAATCGATTTTTTATTGGTGCAATAAAGGTTGGGCCATAAAAATATAATTGTATTTTTATTTTAAATAGAACTCCTTTATTTTTTGTATAAGTAGATTTTTAAAATATTTTTCGTAAATTTTTTGTATAAATAGATATTTTAAATATTCTCCGTAAAAAGGTAGCAGGATAAGATGACCAAAAAATGAGTAGTTAATAAGACATTTAAGATTTATTAAAGTAAATGTTTGAACGTTCCACCATACAATAAACATTTGGCATCGAGTGTCTAGAAGGATATTTTGAACACTGTTTGTAAATATTCAATTGCGTCGAAAAAATTGTACCGTCTACGCCTGTCTAACAATAAGAATCGTACGCAGTAACGAGTTGTAATTCAATGAAAAAAATATATCATTATGAAA